AGTGAAAGCATGGTCTTCTTTACTGCGTGCAGTATTTAAAATTTGTTCCGCTGATGCAATTTCGGAACACAAATACAGCTGCTTATCTTTGTTCCTCGTTAATTTTCTACAAATTAAGCATTTCAATGATCTACTTGCTTCTGCAGGTGTCCTTGATGACGAACGAGATTTTTGAGAACGTAACCCCATGCTTGCCTCGGAAGTTGAAGCAGATTCTTCTTTTTCTTCTTTACACAACGCAATTTCTCGACACCGTATTTTCTCGTCACTTAAATAAGTAGCTAAACAGCCTTGGTGCCATGAAAATTCTTGTGTTGTAGAGTCCGGATTATACAGTTTTAAAAACTTTTCACTAATGTTGTCTTTTCTTCTATCTGCCACTTTTTTAATATTAAGCAGTGTGCTTGACCTTGGTTCTTTTACTACATCATTTGATTTTTCACAAAATAAACATAACTGTGCGTTTGGTCTTTTTCTTTTCAAATTAATCACTTTCAACGAGATTTTTAAAGTTTTTCAATACAGCACACTTTAAACAGTCACTCAAAAATAACGAAAATCAAACGTTTTTTTGTGTGTACAGTTGTATTCATAAAAAAAGCGTACACGAATTAGAATGAGAGGAAACCTTAACCTTATTTGCGTAAAACCGGCTTATCGCATGTTAAAGGTTATTAAAAATGCAAGGCATGGGCGTCGGGCATTAGTTCAATACAGTAACAAAAATGTATTTCTTTATTTTACATCTTAACAGTTTTATAAAAATTACAATAGAAACAAAAAACGATTAACAAGAATAAATAAAATCTAATATTTGGTCATATATCCCTGTTTTTCTATTACTTGAGCCAGTCTATTCGGAATTGACTGAATTATATTTGATACAATATTTGGATCAAGCTCTTCCCAGCACGCATGTATTATTTCCCATAAATCTTCTGAATTTTGTGGCCTAAAATTTCGATTATATATTTTTTTTACGATTATACCCCAAATATTTTCGATTGGATTGATATCGGGACTATAAGCGACCCAAGGCAGCACTTCCACATTATGGGTTTGAAACCAGTGGGTTACAGCATTGGCCGTATGAACTGGACAATTATCTTGTTGAAATATGAACGTATTATTGGGATATATTTGCTCAGCACTTGGTAACAATATGTTTTCTAAAATGTTAATGTAATTTCCGGCATTAAATCTTTCCTCTATTCGCCAGCAAACACCAGGTCCATGAACACTTATCCAGCCCCATACATTTACAGAGAAACGCCCAGGTCTAGAATTGAGGGGGTTAGTATATCGCTCTTCAAACCTGGTATTGTTTGGACGGTAAACACGAATTTGGCCGTTATAAGTCGATTGGAACGTCTTTTCATCAGTAAAAATGACCCTGTTCCAAAATTGAGGATTGCGGTATATATAATTTAAAGCAAAAATAATCCTTGATTGTCGCCGTTCTTCGTTAAGAAACATTTTTTTCGCAGCAGGGTGACATTTTAGTTCAGATTTCATTACTCTCCTGCTGGCGGTAGGTTGGGAGGCAGGAAATGCTGTATCAATAACAGCATCCCTTACAGTTGCAAATGGATTATTTCTTAAATATCCCAAAAAAGCAGCATCCTGTTCAGGGTTGGTAAGTTTGGGACGACCTGAACCTTTTTTCCTCTTTAGGGAATCTTCCTGTTCCCAGCGTTGCTTAATTTTCAATATGGTTTTTTATTTCTATTATACAACTGCGCTACAGCACGGATTGACCATCCTTCTTCGATTCTTGATACAATTTGAGCCTTTTCAACTTCAGACAACTGACGAGGCATTTTTATTTTCTTCTGTCAAAGTTTATTAAACGTTACCTCCACGCATTTTCGAAATGAATTACACCGACGTCAATGCTTTTCATTTTTGACAATCTACGACGTGTGATAACTTCCAATAAACAATCATTTAGACAAGCCGGTTTTACGCAAATAAGGTTAAGGTTTCCTCTCATTCTAATTCGTGTACGCTTTTTTTATGAATAGAACTGTACAACACACACGACTCAATAACAAAACGTTTCTACGTCGATAAATGCAGAGACACACTGAATACCCAGGGCCGGATGCTCCCGTGTTCAGTTTTCGTCTGCAGTTGCGCATGACGTCACTGACAGCGTGATTTGCATTAGCGGGATACCCATTTTGTATGTTTCCCCTTTGTAACGCGTTTATTTTTACAGTTAGGAAAAAACTTTAAAGGCAAAAAATGTTTATTATGACTTGTTTCATACTCTACAAATATAAAATTTCTGAATTTGCCAAAGGTTAGCTGTTGAAAGGTATAATTCTTAATGCGGAATTTGTTCAAGGTATTTTCTACGATTTCCATGAGAACTGGGCTAGTAGATAGAGTAAAATTCCATAAAAACTACTTCATTATAAGCCTTTATTCAACTTGACCTGTTCATTAGTTAGTTAAGTTTGTGAGGGACAAATCTTGGAAATGAATTTTGAACCAATTAACCTCAACCGATTAAACGGTGCGAGTAAAGATAACATGGCCACGCAAGGCAACGATTGAAATATACTCTACTAGGTCCTAAAAGACTAACCGTAGCGAAATTTTTTCCAAAATCGTGGCACAACACTTAAAAAACGCAAAAGAAAATTGTAAAAATGACGTTTCAAATGACTCCATCGTACCCCGGCGTAGCCATAGCTGACCTTGTCATTCATTGACGTATTACATGTTATCTTTACTCGGACCGATTAAACTGAAATTCTCCACTTATACTGAGCAAAACTTATTTTATTCTTTTTGGTACATTAAGCTTAGTACGCATCAATAAAAGCTTGTATTCAAACATATATTTTTATTTAAATTTCATAAAACACAAAATACACTAAATTAATGTCTCTGGCAAGGTATTATACACTGTGGGTAATTTGAAGATGACCTGTTACAAATTATTAAATTCAAGATAGTATCTTTTTTCATTTCCTTTTGCGGACGCTTTTGTCTTTTAAGCTTTGATTTAATTGTCTTATGCGAAAAAACATTCTTGATCTAAAAAAAATTCGCTTTGCCTTTATAGGGCAATCAATATTGGTACTTCTCAGCAAATGTTTATGGATAAAATTTTCTTCTTGGGTAACTAATCCTTCGCCATTAACTTCAAGAAACACCTTGTTAAGTTCCTCAATATGTGCCATAAAAGTAGGAGATGCTTTTGATAAGCCACCCTCACTGAGGTGGTCAATCCAGGAATAGCTTTGACTTGAGGAACTTTGCAAGGTGTAATCTTTAAGTTTGTGGCAAACAAAACCTGCCAGATTTTCAAGACCGTCGTATGCTAGTTCATTTATTTCTTCAATTAAGATAGAGTCGTCTTCATTAGAGTCAGCTGCTGGTGATTGTGAAGAAATGTTAAATTTTTTTATTAAAGCTCCGCTAAGTGGAATATCTGGGGTATCGTCTGCTTCCACATTGGAAAACTCCGAATATGCACCCTCGTTTCTTCCCATAATGTAAGACCTCAATCTATACTTAAATTCTAGAGGAGTGGGATGATCATGAAGACCACCTTTTGCCCTGATCACACCAAAAAAGTTTTCAATAACGTCTTGATTTATGCGCCTGGTTAACAAGTATTGAGTATTAAAACGACGTTTCATATCCTCCAGAAGCATTCGCAACGCACAATTAGAAACCAGAATACCTAAAATAATTAAATCATGATATTTTAGTATAAATATTTTATAAATTTAATCCATTACCCTTTTGAAATGGTAATTGGCTTCGACTGCCAATTACTTTTAAATGGGACATTACACTAGACATTTTATTTAAAATGGCATCTTGATCTTCAAGGGCTAAGCCATAAGCTCCATTTCTGGTTCGTGAGTCACTTATGGGGATGCTAACATTAAAGACGTCAAACCAGTCATTAACCTACAGACATAAAATAATTTTAATAATAATTGAAATTATTCAGTGTTAATGACATACCAATTTAAAAAAATCTGCACATTCTTCAGAAGTTAAATATCCAAGTGTTCCACATCTAGATATTGCACTTGACATAGTATGTGAAAATAGTTTGGCAGCATATTTTACCCTTTGCCTTTGAGGCCCAGCAACATTAAGTTGTTCAAGTGTAATTTTGTGGGTAATTTTTAAATCGGAAACACTGGTTGCCTTTATTGCCTGCTCTACAATTTCCTTTTTAATTTCTTTTTTGTCAATTAAAAAACCATGATCCACGAAATTATTTCTGATTAATTTTATAAGATGAGGGATATCAGCCAGTACAAAAATTTTCTCATTGTTAGCAGGATTTTCAAAATATGGTTTTGACTCAGATATATTTAATTCTCTGTGAAGTTCCCTGTTTGCACCGCCCAAATCGGACACCATGGCCACAACATGAAAGCCTACAAAGCATTGCATAAGGAATATTTTATATTATATCAGGACAATTACACTTACCAGAATTCTCCACAAATTTAATGATTTCCTTTAAAATATGAGCTGTCATTTTACAATCAAAATCATAAAATACAGGCTGCTTTCACTGTTTAAAGATACCTTTGATTAGAACAACTTGGACATAATCATAGGGTTTCATCACACAGTCCTTTGTTTGGTCATACTGATATTCCTTTCGAACTTTCATTTCATCAAATATTATACTACAGACACGATCTTTTTCAGTCATAGCAGCAAATTCGGCAATTTTCAAGGCTTGTTTTAAAATCCCTGGATCTAATTTTATTTTTCTCAGCCATTGCTTGAGTGTCGAGGCTGCTGGATATGGAAAACCTCTTTTTAAACTAAGCCGGTATGCTCTTGGGCCAGCACCATACATCGTTATACCATTTGAAATTTCACTTACTGCCCATTTAGTTCTCTTCTGGCTGTGCATTTTTTTAATTTGGTTTCCACTAAACACCCTTTTAACGCCAGCAAGCTCTTTTTTTAGTTTTTCATTTTCCTTTGATACGCACAACAATTTACTTCTCAGTTCATCCATACCTTCATACGTATCACTTGTTTGAACTCTGAAAATTTAGTAAATTAGCAAACAATAAACAAACACAAATAAATAAGAAATTAAACATATAAGAATAAACCATCACCCTGTATCAGAAGTAGTACTACACAACTCCGTCACCATACTCTGACATACATTTCCATCTACATTTTGACCAGTGCCAGTATGACTATCATCCCTGTCATTACCAACAATTTTAGGCATTTCTTCTCCCCTATTTTAACACATAAAGGTTACTAGCTCAATATTAATATGTTCTAATCAAAATTTAAAAAACTTACGTGTTTGCCTCGGTGTTTGTGTTTTTCAGTACTTCCTTAACAAGGTTTCTCCTCTGCCTTTTTTCATACAAAACTTTTCGCTTTTTCCCAGATGTTGATGGCGATGAAACGGATCCAGTTTGCGATTGGAATAAATTTTGAGAAGGAATTGCATCATCTTTGAGTCCACGATAGTTTTTAGGAGTGTAATTTAAAAGAATATGTTTTAAATTCACTTTATAGTCACTTTCACAAAAATGTTTGGAACAAATTACAGCAGTTTTTACATTAAGCTGGTCTTTCCTCTTTGTAACATGTAACCACTTCTTACATATAATGGGGTCCTTTGGGAAACTAAAAAACTTGATGTTTGGGCATGGATTCTTTTTAGATTCGTTGTCGGAATTGCACCCAAAAACGGAACAACGCATTATTGGTACTTTTGTGACCACGTATAGTCTAGAAACTAATTATCGATTGACCAAAATAACAAAGTATTTCAACTATAGTTATTGAAGTTTGCCGGGCTCTTAATGAAGCATTAAAACACCAAGTTCAGGTAAGTCCCTTTATTTAAAATTCTTTCTATACACTAAAATTTGAAAGAAAACTTTGTGCTGTGTCATATTGAGGCGGTGAAGGTTGATCCATGTTATATAAAGACACACTGAGTTGTACATGGTTGTGGAGGAATAGGACTGGTTTGAGGCGTACCAACAATTGAAGAAGCGTTGCTTGAGGAGTATACATTTTGATATCTATACCTGTGTAGCTCATTGAACGTTTCCATCTCAGCTTCAAAGATCAAGTTATTGATTTTATGGATAAGGATAGCTCTACTTCTTTCATTTAATTTTCGTAGCTTATTAGCGACATGCTCTCCATATACTGAGCATTCATCGCGACTGGACGCAGGTTGCTTTACTCAATCTACGGTCTTCTGTTACCATTTTACGTTTAGGATTTTCCTTTGGATAGACAAATATCTTTCGTTTGGCTATTGTATTTGTTCCATTGCTTTGACAGGAGGATTTAATGACATTTTCAATAGGTTGCTCAGTACTTTGTTTTTCACTTTGTAGTTCACTTTGATCATTGGTATCATCAACAGAAGGTTGCAAATTATCTTGCGAATTTTCTTCAGAGTATATCTGCAAATAAAGAAAATATTTTTATTTATTTTTTTTCCAGATGCCAAATACTACAGAAGGGTGGCTACAATGTGCTAAAGAATTTGAGGAGCATTGGAATTACCTGCATTGCGTAGCCGCTATGGATGGGAAGCATGTGATGTTACAAGCACCCATAAATAGTGGCAGCGAATATTACAATTATATTTCATATTGCCGTTCTTGAATTACAATAATACACTCGTAGTAGCACTTTTTTCTGCGCCCAGCATGCACGATTTTAAAGTAAATCCGGACCTGTCTCGCGCCGACTTCGCTCCAGTCCATCCATCCGCCGGCGCTGCTAGCTCATTGCAATTTTTTCGTGCGCCCGGTGTGTTAGAGCCGGTCCACACGGCGCGTTGCGTTGCGTTGCGTCGTCGCAACGCAAATATTTTGACGCATAGCCGGCCACACAGGCGCTGCGCCATCACAGCGTTACTGTGACGCAGTCTTAACGTTCCGTCGGCGCAGCGACGACGCACAGGTGCGGCAAGCATTTTGTAAAAATATCGCAGTCAGTCTATAGGAAAGCATGGATCGGAAAAGACGTCTAGCATTGCTCCTATTACTGCGTCACCGCCGAAATCGACGCAAGATCACAAGACGGTATTGGGTCTGTCCTTTCATTGCATTAAGAAATAGTGATGGACAGTTTTTTTTTGTTAGAATATCGGGAGCTGCTATTAGACGAAAAGAAGTTTTATAACTTTTTTAGAATGAGTGTATCCAGCTTCGAATGTTTATTGAAGTCCGTAGAACCACACATACGAAAAAACTATACTAATATGAGGAATCCAGTGGAACCAGTAGAAATGCTGGGAATTACTTTAAGGTAATAATTTATATAAGTAATTAAAAGATAACAGTTTTTGTAATTTGTTTAATTAGTAATCAACTCAAGTTTACAGATTATTTAAGAGGGACTTAATCCAGTAATTACAAATTACAAAAATCGTATTCGGTTTCTTCACTTGCTTGAGATGTTTGATCTGGAGATGTAATTGAATTATTATTATCAGAATTGAATGTACTTTGAAAATTGCTTGTTTGATACCCATATGATAATGGTTGGTGAGACGTTGATGGGCCACTCACATATGATGATGTTTGTCCATACCGCATTTCGTCTATCATTTGTATTACTTGACTTTGGAAACGGAGAGTTTGTCGGTCGGAAAAATCTTGAATTGATGGCAATATACCTCTGAAAAAGGACATATGGCGATTATCCGGCTCCTTGAGAAGTTTTAGCCCTTCTCTTTCAAACTCATCCATTTGCATTGCCCTTTTGCGCGCGACTGGAACATAGCGCGGAGAGTCGTCTGTGGTAATATCATCATTTGTAGACGTAGATTCATTGTTGATTTCTCTAGGCGAGTCTAAGCTAGATTCGGTGGCATTTTGTTCCACTCTTCTCAAAAAAAGAAGTTGATTATATAAATGATACTTTTTCAGTTTCGTAGCGCCCGAGCCCGATTTTGATGCTTCTTTTAATTTTTTTGAATATCTGAAGTAATTATCTTTTACACTTCTCCATTTCGTCATTAAATCATTACCTGCAAAACCAATAGTAAACATGATTTAATAAGTTATACATCGTGAATTACTCGATAAAATTTAATGACATATTCAGATATCGATAACAAACACTATGTGACCAACTCTGGAATCGTGAAGATATAACAGCTGTTACATACAAAAATCAATACCTACTGAATCAAAATGTATGCAATAGCTGTTATTTTTTTCGTGATTGCAGAATTAATTGGTCACGTAGAGAAAGTTGTTTGTTATCGATGTCTGAATATGTCAGTATTTTTTTTTTCGGGTATCTATCTATCTCATAAATGCATATTAAAATAATTATTTTCGTTTCAGATACCTAGGAAGTGGAAATTCAATAACCGATTTACATTTGAAATTCAAACGGGGAAAATCTACTATTGCATATATGATACAAAGAGTTTGTCGTGCTATCTGGACCAATCTTCTTCGAGACAACATCCCTGAACTGACAATTGAAAGTTTCCAAACAATAGCGAGGGATTTTGATGTAAAGGCAAATTTTCCTCACTGTGTTGGTGCCATCGACGGCAAACACATCCGTGTGTGTAATCCTGCACATAGTGGCTCACTTTTTTATAATTATAAAGCCTTTTTTTCGATTGTGTTGCTAGCTATTGTGGATTCAAATTACAAATTCGTTTTTGTCGACATCGGTGCATACGGAAAAGAATGCGATTCAACCATATTACTAAATTCTAAACTGTACGAGCTAATGATTAACAACAACTTACCACTACCTCAACCCCAGCCACTCTCTGGTAGCAATATACCAACCCCGTATGTATTTGTGGGTGACGAAGCTTTTGGACTGAGCAAACATATTATGCGTCCACATGGTGGTAAAAATCTTGACTTACAACAAAAGGTTTTCAATTATCGTCTAAGCAGGGCCAAAAGATATGTCGAATGCGCTTTTGGGATTATGGCAAACAAATGGCGCATTTTTCACAGACCGATAGACGTGTCCTATGACTTCGCTACTGACATAATAAAAGCATGTTGTGTACTACACAATTTTGTCGCTGATCGAGATGGTTTTAGACAAAGAGATACATTTGCTATAAGTGTTGATGAATTTCTCCCAATACAACCCGCAGATGAAGAACAGACAGCACCGAATGTCATAAGACAGCATTTTGCGACCTATTTTATGACTAGAGGAACTCTGCCTTGGCAACTAAAGAAGGTATAATAGTATTAAATAAAAAAAAACAATAAATATCTGTACTGTGAACTCACCAACTTTGTTTTTTCGTTCAGCTGTGAAATTCTCGTAATCAGGAAATAAAACTTTTGATATTTCTTCCCAGGCTTTTGTTTTTAAATTTTTAAAATCTACGTTTGACTTGTCCCATATAATTTCCCTTTCCTGAATCAATGTAATGAAGTAATCCATGTCAATTTCTTCAATGGAATTCATTTTATCCTGCTTATAAAACTGAATACAAAAACGTAACGTACTTAAAATGAAATGAGCTTGCGTGTATCCTCTCTGTCAACGCACAAGCAACTGAGCGCTGCCGTTCCGACGTCGCACGAGTACACCCCCTCCCGCTTCGTCTCGGGGGCTGCTGTCCGTCATGTGTGCGTTGCGACGACGCAGCGCGCCGTGTGAACACTTTGGTTATTGGCATTGGCAAGGACAGCGCTGCGTCGACGCAACGCTGACGCAACGCTGACGCAACGCGCCGTGTGGACCGGCTCTTACTGTGTTTACGTTTCGGTGTTTACAGCGTGCAGCGTTTAAAATGAATTCCAAACGAGACTCTAAAAAACGAAAACTTCAAGCATTGTTGGAGGACTTATTAGATAGTGCAAGTAAGTATATTAATATTCCTTATTGTTCGTTTTATTACAGATTTACTGATCGCAAAACCCCACAGGGTTTAGGCGAATACACGAAATACACGTTTCCCACAGAAACGGTGATATTTTATAAACATAAACCATAGGCAATGAGGTAGTCCTACTGGCCTATTGAGCCTTTAGTATTTATAAACGATGTTTCCACAGAAATGCGTTTATTAATATTCCCACAGGAATATATATAGGTATATTAATTCAGTTATTTCGACTGATATGTATTTGTTATTCTTACAAGAATAGCTCGATAAGAATGTCTTTTTTACCTGTTTTGACCTCGACGCGTACCCGAGCGTTATCTCTTTACGCTGACCTGTTTGTATTATTTTATTTTACCATCTATACGATCTATTTAGCGGGGATTTACTGAGCAACTTTAGGTTGTTCTATTTTAGGTGAATCGGATGCTTCACAACATCCTGAATCTATACAGAATGAGGAGACCCCAGGGTTAGATGAAGAAGACGAGGAAATGAACATTCCCATCGCCCATCTAGGAACAGGTGAAAAACCTGTTAATCCTTTAATTGCCCTCCTTGAAGGAAAGGGATCAAACTTAAACAATGGACCAGCAGTTCATGAAGATATTCAACAGTTGCGAACGCTGTTTATAGCTAAAGGTTTAGATAATGATACACGCAAAGAGGCCATTGATTCGTTTCCGTTGCTGAAAGGCTGTACGGCATTAAATCCGCCCGAACTAAATGCTGAAATAAAAATCTGTTTGAATTCCGCTGTTCTTAGACAAGACGCATTTTTGGTAAAAATTCAAAACCAATTAGCCGCCATAATCAGTGCTTTGGCGGTGCAGTTTAATGAACTGTATAAAGATTCCAAGTCCAACCCCAGTCAGCCAACCGAGGAAGTTTTAAAAAAAGCTGGTGATCCTCTAAAATTAGTAGCGGACACATTTCATTCCATCTCTTGTCATCGGAGATACCTAATCGTTCCATCTTTGGACTCATCCATAAAAGACATCTTAGAGGCGTGTCCAGTTGATTCTCTATTGTTTGGAGTGGAATTCCCAGAAAAATGGAAGATGTCTAAAGAGGCGAAGAGATTGGGAGCTTCTCTTAAAAAGAAACCAAGCAAGATCTTAAGAACAGGACCAAGTTTTTCTACTCAATCCATGGCTGTTACTGGGCCGTCATCTTCAACTCCACGTTCCCGTACTTATCAGGCTAGAAATAAGAGTCCTTTTTTACCCTCGAGCCGCCCACCAGCCAGATCTTGATACAAGAAGGAACACGAAGAAGTGCGGAGGTATCCACCACAAAAACGACGTTAAATCAGGTACCCATTATTTATAACAAATATGCTGGCCGCTTAGTTAACTACATAGACCAGTGGTCATTAATCACTAATAACTGTAAGAGCATTTTAACATGGCTCTCTGGATACAGACTACCCTTTATTAACAACCCAGTACAGACACAGGAACCTACTGTAAATTTCAAACAAATCAATTTAAACGATATGGAGGAGAGTATTAATAACCTCATTCAAATTGGAGCAGTTTCTGAAACTCCTCCCCAGTTGAATCAGTTTTTGTCTTCTTTCTTCTTAACAAAGAAACCAGACGGTACCTCTCGATTTATACTCAACATAAAAAACCTAAATTGTTTTCTGGATCAACCTCATTTTAAAATGGAGGACTACCGAACTGTGTTACAGTTAATATTTAAAGATTGTTTTTTTACAACTTTGGATTTAAAAGATGATTATTTTTTAATTCCAATTCACAATGATCACAAAAAATATTTGATGTTTAAGTGGGATAATAAATATTATATGTTTAATTGTTTACCTTTTGGCCTCTCTACAGCGCCCTTTCTATTCAAAAGATTATGAGAGTAGTAATAAAATTTCTTCGATCAAGAGATATTACTTGTGTTTCATATTTGGACGATCTTATCATTATTAGTAGATCAGAGGGGGAGGGCATCAAAGATGTAGACTTTACTTCACAGCTGTTGGAATCTCTGGGTTTAATCATAAACATCAAAAAGAGTTCTTTTATTCCTTCTCAACAATGTCAATATTTAGGGTTTATCTTTGACTCCCAGCATTAATTACTATTATTGCCAGATGAAAAAAGGTTATCTCTCTTACCATTTATTACCCAGGTCATTAAAAAAGATAGAGTGACAATACATGTTTTTGCAAAATTATTAGGTAAATTAGTAGCTGCTTGTCCTGCTATTCAGTATGGCTGGGTTCATTTAAAAACCTTGGAACGTGAAAAATTTATAGCGTTACGGAAAAACAATCAAAACTATAATTGCTCTATGAATATCTCTGTTGCAGTTACAAAAGACTTACAATGGTGGATAAAAGCTATTTCTAGTAATAAGGGTGTCCCTATACTTTCAAGTCACAAGTTCACACTAGAAATATTTTCAGACGCATCACGCTCTGGTTGGGGAGCATTCTGTAATGGAAAAGCTACTAACGGGTTCTGGGATCCAATACAACAAACCAAACATATAAATTTTTTGGAACTCGTTGCGGCTTTTCATGCTGTGAAATGCTTTGCCAATAAATTATCTAATTGCTCACTACGCATTCGAATTGATAACACGACAGCTATTGCGTGCATCAATCGGATGGGAAGTGTAAGGTTTGGACCCCTCAACACCATATCCAAAAAATTGTGGACTTGGTGCGAAAGTCGCCAAATTTTTCTGGTCGCCTCATATATTAATACGGCAGATAACATATTCGCAGATAGGGAGTCAAGAACAACAAAAATAGATACAGAATATGAACTATCTTCATATTGTTATGAAAAGATTTGTTCTCATTTTGGAACTCCGAGCATTGACTTGTTTGCCACCTATATCAACTTTAAATGTTTACGTTATATTTCTTGGAAACCAGATCCTGAGTCCTTACGGGTAGATGCATTTACGGTATTTTGGGGAGACGAATTTTTTTATGCTTTCCCACCATTTTGTTTGATATCTAAATGTCTACGTAAAATTATCAATGATAAAGCAAAAGGCATTATTGTGGTACCAAGTTGAAAAACTGAACCTTGGTACACCATATATAAAAGATTATTGATAACGAAACCTTTGTTTTTCAAACCAAGTAAAGATTTACTACTTTCGCCTTTCAGAGAGCCACACCCCCTATGGAAAAGTCTTATCCTGGAGGCAGGAATTTTGTCCGGAACTCTTTCCTCCATAGAGGCTTTCCAGCAGTAGGTCTGGATACAGTTATGGAATCTTTAGCTCCAAGCACTCTTCACCAATATAATTCTTATTATCAAAAATGGTGGTCTTTCTGTATTAAGTCAGAAAAAAACCCTTATTCGTATTCCTTGAACTTATTAATCTCATTTTTAACTGAAGAATATAAAAAAGGTGCCTCATATGCTACACTAAACTCACAATATGCGTCCCTCTTATTATTATTTAATATAGATGCCATAGATAAAGCTCATTTAAATAGATTTCTCAAAGGTGTTTCCAAGAAAAATCCGCCAAAACCCAAATATCAAACCACATGGGATCCTACCTGTGTTTTAGGTTTTTTATCATCTTGGTACCCATTAGAGGAATTACCAATTTCTCAATTAACGCAAAAAATGGTTACTTTACTAGCATTAGTTACAGGCCACAGGATACAAACTTTGTCAAAAATGAAAATTTCGAATATAATATATTTTGAAGATAAATTAGAAATAAGGATACCAGATTCTATAAAGACCTCATCGTGTAAAAATTTCCAACCTGCTTTGGTTATATCATATTTTAGAGAGGAACCAAAGTTGTGTTTAGCTTCTGTTATTGATGTTTATATTAAAAAGACTAAAGATACCAGACCTAACGATACAGATTACTTAGTTTTAACTTATAAAAAGCCAATACATCCGGCGAGTTCACAGCGTATCAGTAACTGGATAAAGCTTACTTTGAAAAGCAGTGGGATTGATATGTCTCAATTCTCCGCTTATAGCACGCGTCATGCGGCTACTTCGGCAGCATATCGAGCTGGCGTGTCAATTGAACAAATCAGAAAGACAGTTGGCTGGACAAAAAATAGTTCCATGTTCAATAGGTTCTATAATCGCCCGTTAGGTCTGGACTCTACAGAATTTGCAAAAGCAATCTTGACTTTAAAATAGGTTCAGATTTGCCTTGTGTTTTGTTCCTATAGATTTAGATTGGTTTGGTGTTTTGTTCCTATGGTTGCTTAGCAATAAAAGATTTTTGCAGATCTAGATCGTTTAACTTTAAACATCTACGAGTGTATTATTGTAATTCGAGAACGGCAATATGAAATATAATTACTAGATCAATTGACTTACCTTAAGGAAAATTGATCGATATTATATGAATATTGCCGTTCGAAGAATTACAATCAGTCCCATATCCCTACCCCCTTCACGATCTAGATCTTCCTGGGACTTCACTAGGGGTGTGCTTAACAGTGAAATTTTAATATCGGTGATCACTGCGACTGCTATCAAAAAGTAGCTGCTACTGCAAGCTGTGAAATTATCACTCTTTATATAACAGTAACTATCACCTAAAATTCCGCGTAACGTAATAATTAATGAAGTCCTCTGCGAATATGAATAATAAAATATTTGCGTTTAGCGTTACTTACTAGTCTTTACTACTCAGCCTTCAGCTTTCTGCGATTTGACCGTTCCGAGAATGAGTGAATGAGTAAAAAAATACCTTTAAATAGTATTTATAATTAGGACATGGCTATATGAAGTACATATATTTAATTTGGAAAAAAATATATATGTAATTTAAACAATTTACAAAATAAAAAGGTATGAACATCGTAACAAAAAATCAAAGTAACAAATAGTAAAACGTATTTTAAAATATAAAAAAAATTATGCGTAATAACAATACAAAAAAAACTGCTGAAATTATTCTATGTATTCGCATTTAAAAAAAGTAACTTGTTAACTTTTGTAGCAGAAAGTCGTGTTCTTCTGTCACTAATTATCAGGCTACTTCTGGAGAACAGTCGTTCACAAGGTACGCTAGTTGCGACCATACAAAGCTGTTTTCTTGCCAAATCCGCCAAATTCGGATAGAGTTGTTGATTATTTTTCTACCACAGCAGTGGATCATCCTTTCTGGAAATGATGGTATCGTTACAGTACCTATCGACCTCCAAAATAGCCTGAGACGTAGCTGTCCCCTTAGGAATAAGATCGGCCATTTTATTGTCAAACTCTGCCCAGTATGACAGTACATTTTTTTCAGTACTATTGTCGGTTTCTTTTTTTGCTTCCAACCGTGGTTGTTGTCGGCCAGTGCTTGCTTCTGCAGTTTTTACATTAATAATAGCGGTCACTAAGTTAATTACTTGTTTTTTTATATCTTGGGCATGTTCTTGATTTTCAAATATATATAATTTGAAACGAGGGTCCAGAAACGTGCATACACCGATTGTTCTGCTTTTTTCCAAATCTGGAAAACGCTGTTCTAAACCAGCAACAAGCTGATCGGCAAAATTTGTTGAATTTTCGCAGTAGTTTAAATTAATAGCCTTTTTGGTAACGGAATTTAGACCTCTTGCAATTCCTATAATTACGCTGCCCGTTAAATAATTCTCACCACTAACTTCCAAAGTAGCTTCTTCGAAAGGCTTCAACAATATACAGATTTCCTCGCAGATTTTCCATTCCGTCTCCGACAACATATTTATTTTTGGTGCGTTTAAATTAGCGACGGTACTACGAATTGCTTCTTGGATTTTTACAAGCCGTTGAATCATGTGATATGTTGAGTTCCAACGCGTTTCGACATCTTGTATTACACATAACGGATTGTCATTCCCTAGTTGCCTTTGAGCCTTTAACAGTTTTTCTGTCGCTTGTGGGCTTCTTTTGAAATGATTCACTATGGTTTTTACTTTCTCAATTATTAACGTTTTGGATTTCAGAGCACTGCGTACAACAAGATTTAATTTATGCGCAAAACAACCGAAATGTTTCCACATCAATTCCTTGGTTACTGCGTTAGTAATGTTAGAAGCGTTGTCAGTAATGACTATGAGTATTTTATCTAGCAAACTCCATTCTTCGGCGGTGCGTTTCATTTCAGCGGCAATCTGTACAGCAGTATGTTCACCTTCAAATTTTATACATTTAATTAATTTGGAACGCAATTTGAAATCTTCGTCTATAAAATGTGCAGTTATGCCCATATAATTCTCATTTGCCGTAGACGTCCAGTGATCAGTTGTCAAGCATATCTTTTTTACTTGATTCATCTGTTCCCGTGTACTTTCATAACATTTATTGTACATTTCATGAAGTAGAGAGTCTGATAAATATTTTCGCCCTGGCAAACTGTAATCTGGAGCCAATGCTGCCACAAAGTTTTTGAACCCTTCATCCTCAACTATGGAGAATGGTTGATAATCTTTAATAAATAATCCCATAAGGAGTTCATCGTAGCGCTTTTTCATAACGGGAGTAACTTTTTTTCTTACAAAATTATGTACTTTCTCTTGGTAAAGTGTGTGAACTTTATTCGGAATCAAACAATTTGAAACACTAAAGCTTGTTGATGCCTCGTCCGCTGTAGTGACCAAAACTGTCCCATTTGACGAGGGCATAGCCTTTCCATTTGTTGAATTTTTAGTTTGGGCTAAGGCTGAATCGGTACTGGTTGCATCTGACGGTGAAACGACTACAGTGGGATGTTTTAACGATAAATGCTTTCTTAAATTAGTTACGGATGTTTTAAAACTTAAATTTTGATAACAGTATCGACATTTCGCCATTTTATTTTCATTTTCTTCAAAGTGTTCACTACTTTTTCTCCTTTTATTAGGAGTTGCCATTCTTCTCAGTGCTGTAAATTATATTTAAATAAATGCGGATGTACCTATACGCAGTGTAACATTTACTTACCGGTACGACACAAACCAAAACAAACACGAATAAATACTTTGAAATACCTAATTGCGATAACAAAAACTGTAAGTTAGGTTAGCACATTTTATATCAATCCACCCTGCAAAGCGCAGGAATTTATACAAAATGAAGCAGTCAAACAGTAAACTGTGAAACTTTCTTTACCTAATTAGCATTTAGCAGTCGTTGATAAGCCGTCCAGCTGATAGATGGCGATCGCATTCACAAATCATAATTCATATTCAGAACAATTTCGCCTTTTATCTCGCATCGCACTCATCGAAGTATTGCAGTCGCACACGTACACGGTACGCAGACATGAGACAAGGTGTGCGACGTATGTGCGATACGCGCCTTCGCAGTTAAGTTAAACAGTGATATTTTCACTCTTTCGTGCAGAAGCGAGTAGCAGCTACCTAAATGATTTGTGAGTAATAGGTGAACAGTAGCAGTGAATGCGATCGCAGTCACTTCTCTAGACTTCACCAAAATTGCAATGAGCTAGCAGCGCCGGCGGATGGATGGACTTTAGCGAAGTCGGGGCGAGACAGGTCCGGATTTACTTTAAAATCGTGCATGCTGGGCGCAGAAAAAAGTGCTACTACGAGTGTATTATTGTAATTCTTCGAACGGCAATATTCATATAATATCGATCAATTTTCCTTAAGGTAAGTCAATTGATCTAGTAATTATAAGTCATATTTTAGCATTGTGCTATTTGCACTTGTGGATGCGAATTATAATTTTATTTTCGCTGATGTGGGTACTCAGGGTCGTATATCGGATGGAGGAATATTTAAACATAGTCTAATATGGAAGAAAATACAAGAAAACAGTCTGAGTTTGCCAGAATCAAAAGAGCTTCCTGGGCGGGAAAAACGTATCCCTTACGTCATACTGGGTGACGAAGCATTTGCTCTACATGAACATGTAATGAAACCCTATTCTGGTCTTTATGAAAAAGGATCGAAAGAAAGGATCTTCAATTATCGATTGTCAAGAGCACGGCGAGTTTCAGAAAATGCGTTTGGAATACGTAGCGCAGTATTTAGAGTTTTGAGAAAACCCATGCTCCTTGAACCTAACAAGGCTAGAGATGTAGTACTGACGACTATTTATCTACACAATTACTTAAGAAAAAGTAAAAATTCGAGAAATACCTATACACCTGCAGGAACTTTTGATAGTGAGCTAAATGATGGGACAGTTGTTGCTGGAAGCTGGCGGAGGGATGATGTA